TGGTATACGATAGTGGTGGCCGAGACTCTCGGTCTTGGTTCCCTAGTCGGGAAATTTCCCTGGGTTTTTGAGCTGTTCTCGACTCCCGGCTTTTTTGAACTCCCGACCATTCCTGGTATACGCCCTTATGATGAAAAAATCGTATATAAAAATGAAGGGCTCTAAAGTGGAGGGTATCGCTCAGAAAACTACGATTGTCTTATTGTTAGCTAGCTAATTTTAGCGCGAGTTTTTAAAAAATGACTAATAATTTTTGCACTTTAGTGCCATTTTTAATATAAAAATTATAATAAAAATTTTATTTCTTTGTGTGTTTCTAAAATTAAGTATAAAAAAAACTCAGAGAAAAAAGGAATTTTTATTACTTGTCTCTCAACGTTAAAACCTTTCCCACAATCCAAAATTGGCTAGAATTGGAGTATTACACCTTCTTTTTATTCTTAAATTTTGCTGTGCGCAACAAACATTTTTACAACGTAACGCAATTTTTGGCGTTCAACTCCCCCCAAAAATTAAACTTTGGCGCACACCTAAAATAGGTTTGTTCAGCCATCCACGCATTAATTTAAATTTATTTTTTCTAGCTTTTCTTTTTTTGACAAAAAGAGACAGGAGAAGAATATTTTTTTGGTTTTCTTGGAGTCTTCATAAAGCATTTTTAGCTATATTTTTTATTTTATATTACTAATTAAAATTGAGGGATAATCGAAAAAAAGGAGATTTTTTGTCCTTAAAATATTTTTTTGTATTCTAAAAATAATTTTTTTCAGCAGTAACACGGTCTTGTTATTAAGTCCTGGTAAACCCTCGCTTTAAACGGATTAAGCAAATTGTCTCTATTTAAAAAAGAAAACTAAGAATTGAGGAGTTTATTAATAATTTCAGAGATCTCTCTGCCTTTAAGAGGTGGACCCTAATTCGCCTTTCTCACCTTTTAAGGATGATAACTTTGGTTAAGAATTTGGTATCCTTAAGTTTCTAGCATTGCTCAATTTAGCTCTTTGAGATGCATCAAAGCATATTAGGTAGCAGAGTTGGGTCGGAACAGTAAGAGGCGTCGGAAATCGGAAGAACCGGAAATCGGAACTGGCACAAAAGGCGGAACTCGGAAACCAAAATTTTTTTCGGAAGTCGAAAATCGTAATTCCGACCCACTCTGCTAGGTAGCAGGAGTGTGCCGGATGGATTTTAAAAAGCGAAATTCGAAACACCCAAAAAGTCGAAACCGGAGAAAACTAAAAATCAAAATACGCCCCCGTCAGGGTAATAAAGCGCCTCTTAAAAGAAACCCCACAAAAATACGAAAATTCGGCAAAAGATGTAAAGGCGAAAGCACACCCCTACTAACAACGAGAAATAATGGATTTGTATGTGTGTTTAATCCAAAATTAGGCGAAAACACCCCCTATGTACATATCTGTTTAATCCAAAGTTATAGCCTTGCGACGGACTGCCGCCTGCTCTAGCTGATTAAATTAAAATTCCCTCTCAAGAGCTGATTTTATTTTGTTGAAATTCCAAATAAAAATAAAAAGAGAAAGAGAATGGTGTTTGTTGTTTTTTCATTGTTTCCGGCTAATTAGCATTATTCCTATATTTTTTCATTTCTGTGAAATTGCTAAAAGAAAATGACTAGTATTGTGATGCACTCTATAAGCTTATTTTTGTTTTTATTTTTTAAAAAGAATTTTTGGTGTTATAAAAATAATTGCAGGAAAGTGTTTGAAGAAAATTAAATTTTAAATAAAAATAAAAAAAAATAAGAGAAAAAAAATTTTAATTAAAAACAACGGTAGTCTGAGGAGGTGAACCATGCGAGTGTCAACTCCCATAACTTTTTAATTTCTGAACCGATTTTGATGTTTTGGTATCATTCGATAGAGGATTGAATTTGCTACAAAATAAGATAAAAATCAGAATTTAAGATTAAATAAAACAAAAGTTATGGCCGAAGGACTTGATAGATAGGTAGATACATAGGTAGCGTTAACTCCTATAATTTTTTGACTTCTGAACCGATTTTGATGTTTTTGGTATTATTCGATAGAGGATTGAATTTGCTTCAAAATAAGATAAAAATCAGAATTTAAGATTAAATAAAACAGAAGTTATGGTCGAGAGACTTGATAGATGTCTATGTACATGGGTATCGTTAACTCTCATAACTTCTCGTGGTCGGAACCAATTTTTATGTTCTTAGTATCATTCGATAGAGGATTGAATTTGCTACAGAATAAGATAAAAATCAGAATTTAGGATTAATTAAAACAAAAGTTATGGCCGAAAGACTTGATAGATGTCTACATGGGTAGCGTTAACTCTTATAACTTTTCGAGGTCGGAACTAATTTTTTTGTTTTTGGCATCATTCGATAGAGAATTAAATTTGCTACAAAATAGGATAAAAATTAGAATTTATAATTAATTAATATAAAAGTTATGGTCGAAAGACTTGATAAAATCAAGATTTTTCTTAGAAAATGGGCCAACATATTTTTTGTTTAAAAAGTTAAAATTTCGATTTTTTCATATTTTTGTAGCAAATTTTATGTTCTAATTAAAAAATATGAAGAAATGTACAAAAGGTTTAAGCTGATAAGTTAATGGAGTTTAATTCGACCTGTACAGAGGCGCATATCTTGGTTTAAGTTAACCAAGCTGCGAAAAAACATTTTTTAGGTTCTCCACAAATTTTATAGTGAATAATATCCTTATTTATATTATTTTGGTGATTATACTAGAAAAAAATTTGTAGAAAGGATTTTCAAAATAAAATCTAAAAAATGGGAAAAAAATTTTTTTTTGATAAATATCAGGCTAAAATTCTCTTGCCCCATTATTGCTTTCTTTAAGAAAATAAAAAATATTTATTTTGTTCTACCCCTCAGAAAGGGCATTATTATTAAAATCGAGAATGTGTGAAGAAAAATAATAAAAAAATAATAAAATTGTCCGGAAAAGGCGGCATTAAAGGAAGTGGCGGTGGAGGAAATGCGCATCCCTTTAGTGAGCAATCTCTCAAAAAAATCCTTGCCATATTATAGCCCAAGGGTCCACACATTTAATTACTATATCCTTTCTATTTTATCTTCTCATTAGTGGCAGAAAAGAATTTTTAAAAATGCCAAACAATTTTTAGAAATAAAAAATAAAATGGATGTTTCGGCGCCGTTCTTTTAGGCGCCGAGGAGAATTTTGGTCTATAACTTTTTTAAATTTTTAACCAGTCAAGGCAAATAATATATCAATCGAAAGCTCTCAATGTGCTGAATATTTTATATAATTGGACCTTTCAGGTGTGAAAATTTTACAAAAAGTTGTAGGCTTTTGATTAGGTAAAATCGTGATTTTTTGTAATTATTGGACTATAACATTTGAAGCAAAAATCATATCCATTAAAAATTTTAGGCCTGAGAATCAGCTCATTTAGAGCTTTCGAATGATACCAAGAACAATATAAAACCCTTTCAAATATTAAAAGTTATGGAATAAAATGAGCTTAAAAACGCTTCAACTAACGCCTAAACGTCCCTATTTTACCACAAAAATAATAAAAGAAAATAAATAAAAATAAAAAGGTTTTAATTACATAAGGCTCTCAATAAAAATATTCTTAAAATTAAAAAAAAAAAAAAGAAAAAATAAACTTTTCTATTATTATCCTTTAAAAGTATCCCTCTCATTAAAAGCAAATATTTGCCTACTTTGAGGTTTAGTTTTATTATTATTTTGCTCCAAAAATAGTAATTAAATAATATTACTTGCTGGTAATATGGTAATGCTAGGACGGAATAATAATACCAGGATTAAATTATTTTTATTTTAGAAGTTGGGATTTTAGGGAAGATTTTCTTTTGAAAGAATAAATTTAGAGGGAGAATATAATGACTAATATTTAATTTTAAATTTGGAAAAAATGATTAAATAAATGTTTTGTTCGGATTCTGGTTTTAGAAAAATTCTGGTTTTTGTTTTTAAATGAATTTTGTTTTGATGTTTTAAATATATTCTGATTTTATTAAAAATGTTTTGACAAAATTCTGATTTAAATAAAAAATTCTGGTTTTTGTTTGAAATAAATTCTGGTCTAAATAGTATGTTTTAAATAAATTCTGATTTTATTAAAACATGTTTTAAATAAATTCTGATTTTTAATAAGTTAAAATAAAATTCTGAATTTTAACGTTTTAAATAGGTTCTGGTTTCTAATGTTTTAAATAAATTCTGTTTCAATGTTTCAAACATATTCTCATTCTTAATATGTCTAAACTAAATTCTGATGTTTATAAGGTTTTAAATAAATTCTGATTTAAATAAAAATGTTTTATACAAATTCTGATTTGTAATGTTTTAAACACATTCTGATTTAAATTAAAATGTTTTAGATTAACAAAATTCTTTTGAGAAAATAATGAATCATATTTAAAACTTTAAAAAATAAAATTTTATATCCAATAAAATGTAAAAAAATTTTATTAAAAATTGAAAAAATTTTTTTAAAGATTTTATTGTTCACATATTTAAATAATATTATAGATGTAGTAAATGTTTCAATTCAAAGTCACCAGACAGAGCTTTAAAAATTTTTTTCTTCTCCTCTAATATTTTTACACATGCTTTTTAGTTTTTAATACATTGGTGACAGACACATGCTTTTTTATAAGCCGATTTTTTCTTCCAAAAATATTTTAAAGAAAGGGAAGGGTTTTAAAATAAAAGTCAAATCTATAAAAACATAAAGAAAAACAGTAATTTTTATGAATGTTTAAAATAAATTCTGGTTTGTTTTTATTAAATTCTGATTTTGTTTTAATTAAATTCTGGTTTTGTTTTTATTAAATTCTGGTTTTGTTTTTATTAAATTCTGATTTTGTTTTAATTAAATTCTGGCTTATTATTAAAAACAATGAATCAACAAGGGATATAATATGAACATAAATACAATAGTCATACAAAATACAATATTACAGGAAAAAATTTTTTATAGGATATATGTATCATTTAGAAATTATCATATATTTTCTTATCCTTAGTTTTAGTATTCTCAGGTACTTTATTCATTTTAGTATTCGATTTAGTCTTCTCAGGCTCCGCTTGAATATTATTATGCCAATCACGCTGGATTCCCCTACGACGGTCCATCTCGACATACACCTGCATCAATGTCTTATTCTTCGTTTCTGGCACGTACTTCCAAATGAATAGACTGAACAAGCCGACTAGACCAGTGAATACAAGGAAGGAAAATTCGTGCATTAAACCCTAAAATTTGGAAAATTTTTCAAATTTTTTCGAATTTGCCTCAATCCACGGGAAAGCCATTCCAACAGCAAACGTGCAGAACCAGTTGGTGAAAACAGCGACTGAGTTGGCCTTCCCACGAGCATTTAAGGGAAACACCTCGCTCACGAAGAACCAGGGAATTGAGCCTTAAAATGATTTGATAATTTTTTCAAAAAAATTATCGGTATCACCTGCTCCAGCAGCAAAGGAAATCACAAAAGCAAGTACGGCCAGTACTGCCACATAGGAGAACCAATGAAGGGCTGCAACATGTTTAGCGGAAAGTATAGAAATTGCAATAATTGCCGTGGTGACGAACATTCCAATAAAGCTACCAAGCAGCAACGTTCGACGTCCTTGTTTGTCAACCTGAAATCGAGAGTCGTTAAAATATTTTGAATGAGTTTTCTCACGAAATAGACAGAAGCAATAGTCATCAGAACATTGATGGCACCCATAGCAAGCGTTGCATAATTTGGCCCTAAATTTAAATATCGTAAAGCTTATAGCTATTTAAATCCTAAGGCTGTGCAGTAGGCGGCGTGGTGTAATGGCTAACACACCAGTCCGGTCTACTGAAGATGCTGGTTCATCCCCAGCCGCCGATTAACCTTTTGCACTAGCTAAAGGAGAGAAATAGCTATAGCCCAGCTGCTTTACTACAATGAAAACTGACATTGATCTTGAAGACCAGCACTCTTGAATATATCAGTGGAGTAGAACATTACTAAAATTGAAAGAAAATTATTTTTCAAGACAGATTTTCTCCTAAAATTCTCACCAGCATTGATCCCGCTAAGCTGCTGAGCAAACATCAAGAAGGTGGATAAAGCCAAAGGCCAGATAAGGTATGGACCAAACAAAGCAGCACAGTTAATTTCTTCAGATTTTGCAGCCTTTGCTTCATCCGCAATTACCATCAACTCATCTTGGACCTGACAAATTTACAAAAAAATTTTAGAAAGAAAAACAGCAAAATCACCTTTGCGTGGCCTCGCAATTTTATCAAATCCTGTTGTGCCTGGAAATGGTTGTCGCCGACTTTTATGGTGTACTTGGGACTTTCAGGGCAGAGCATGAGCGTGGAAAGTTGCAAAATCGCAGGAACCTGTTAAAGAAAAATTCAAATTAATAAACTCCTAGGCAAATTTCTAGCGCCCGAAAAATGCCTTACACATATGGCATAGAAGATCCAAGGCCATCGATCAGCAGTCCCCAAAATAGATGGAAGTCCGACAACTTGCGAGGCCAGAATTGAGATGGTAACGAATAGCTGTGCAAATGAGCCGATGGTTCCGCGGAGGTTTGCTGGAGAGATTTCTGTCAGATACATGGGCACCAGACCGCTATTCAACCCTATAACGAAGGAAAGATTATTCATGACTTTACAGTCAAGTACGAAATATTCACCGGCATTCACTCCAATGATAAGTCTGCCCGCCGTGAACAAGTACCGAATGTCAAACAATTTTGCGAAGACGAAGAAGCCTGTGGCGACGAGCGCAACGACATTATTCATTAGCAAGGCAGTCTTCCGTCCAAGTTTATCCGCAAAGTATCCACAGGAAAGGCCTCCGGCAATTCCTCCAATGGCGAAGATACTGACAGCTATCGACCTTAAAAAGCGTTTGTGTGAAGATCTAAGGCTTTTGAAGCCCTACCATGCCGTTTTCATATCATCGACTGTCGCTCTCTTTTCATGGATGGCGAGCCCTTTATTGTACGATGCCGCGAACCATTCTTTGATTAGATCAGCTAAAGAATAAAAATCGTTGATCAAGTTTTAGCATGTGGCATACCAGGCATATTGATACAGCCAATGTTGTAGCCAAACTCGAAAGATCCGATCGACGCCGACAACACTGCACCGAAGAGATGACAAGTCCAACGTCCCTCCTAAAAAGTATGAGAGATTAGATGTAAAATGAAAGAAGGACAACTAACCATTTTTATTTGCGATATGTGTAGAAGTGGATTGAAGCGGATTGTTAAAAACTGCTTTTATAGTATGAGAGCTTATATAGAAAAATTAATTCGGTAATTTTCCGTTACACGAAATCAAACTGAGTGCCAGACGACTTTGATCGGCTATAACTTTTTTGTGTTTGATCCAATACAAATAAATTTTATAGCATTCGAACGCCATCGATACGCTGTATTTTTTCCTAATAAGGGGGCTCGGGTTACCCTTAACTCGATAAACGAAACCCGGCCTTTTTTCGAACAGAAAACCCGAAACACGACCCAAGGACAATGGAATTTTAGGTGCTAATTTTGGCAATTCATAAATACGCAAAAATACTCTTTCGCCCAAACATCCCTTTCTTATTTTAAAATTTATGGCCTTTACCCTATTTTATTTTTTTTTCCAAGTTATTTTAATGAGTGATTCATACTATTAGAACATTTTTAAGTTTTAAACACAATTTAAAACACAATTTAGTGACCCTTGCTTTTTTTATTTAGAAAGCGTCAGGTGTGAAAAAATCACGCTAAAGAAGATAAATCGAAAGTCTCTCTTTGCTCTTGAACGTTTTAAAAATTATAAAGGTAACTAACTTCGTTTGCAGAGAATAATTCTTTTGCAATGCAAACTTTTTTATGACTCAGCCTATTAAATAAAAATAGGGAGTTGATAAAAACACAATTTCGTCTCTCATTTTTTTCTACATTTTTTTAAACAATTTAATTTCCAACGTTCTCGCATAATTTTCAGCGAAGAGAATATTTTATGTAGACGATAATTTATTTAAACGATTTTTCACTTTTTAATTTAACTAATTTTTTTTTCAACTAAAATAAGTGGCAAAAGGCTGTTTTTAGTTTAAAACAAGACAAAAATTAAAGTTTGAAATTGAAAGTTATTTACATTCAGGGTACAGCCCAGGTAGGCGCTGAGCCATAACTTGCTTTAAGATTTCCGAATCTTTCCAAATTTAGTATTAAACGATTCCTCTCATCGAGCTAAAGAGTTTGGTACCAAAATTGATAAGGGCCAGAAATTTTTTAGCAAGTTATAGCTCGGCGACAATGTGGGGCGTGTCCCTGATTTTTCTTTATCAACATTTGTCGTTCATGTCTTGACTTTTTTTTTATTTTCATTTTTTTAAAATTTTATTTTTAGTGATAAACTTTCTCTATCATTTTCCCTTATTTTAAAATATGTTAATTTAAAATTAAAAATTGATTTGGCTTCATGGGCTGGTGCAAGTTCAAATTTTTGTTTTGTTTTCGTCTCATTCTTGCAACAATTGCTCATTTTAATTGGTTTTATAATTAAGAATTTAATAAAAAAATTTTTAAATTTTGGTATTTTATCGTATCATCTCACAAAAATTTTGTTTCTTTTTTCGTTTTCGGGCTAAATCAGTAGATTAATTGGGAGCTTAACCAGTAGATTAATTGGGAGCAAGCCAATATACCACGAGCCCAATATACCGCTTAGCTCGTTCAAATTTGCCAAATCCGGGTCGCCCTGGTATGTTTCGATATGGCTCGACGAGCTGAATCAAATTATACCAGGGTCTCCCGGTATCTCCAGGGTACATCAAGGTGTACCCTGGAGATTGATTAGCCCGTTATTGTCAATACGAATCAATTGGCAATAAGTACGGATAAGTATCTTTATTTTAGAAAACAATGGTCCGTAAAATATTTTTTTTCACCATAGATCTTCTTGGGAATAGGACATCGTCCCTATTTACCGCCGACAATTCTAGAAAATAGAAATATTTGTTCCAACGATGGGAACAAATATTAAAAATGAGAGATAGTATCTAAATAGTATGTATATCTTCAAAGGTTAACAGCAATTTATGTCAATTGTATTTTCTTTACTTTATGGAAATCCTATGATATTTTCTGGTTTTGGTTCCATTTGTTTTTGTGTATTTGCTTCCCTGCTTTGAGACCCGAAAATTATTTAATTGTATTTATTCGCTTAATTCGGGCAAAATATGGAGAATATTCTGACAAATCTTTCAAAGAAATTTATGAACAATTATATGTTTATAATGATAGAAAAATAAATACAGAAGTCGAAGTGAGGCGAGTTGAGACTTTAAGACGAGAAAAAAGGAAAAGCAGAAAGGAAGCAAATAAGGTTTTCTACTTTAAAAAGTGTTGCGGACAATATTTGCGGATATATAGGCAGACGATGGAAATGATTCTTCCGTTAATGAAGAGGAAGATATTGAAATTGGAGGACCAACTTCAGACCTAAATTTGCTTGAAAATGGAGAACAGGCTATGCCAACTATTCGCTTATTAGATTGTCAAAAGGATACAAAGGAGAGTAAACAAGAGCACTTCGAAGGTTTATATCAGGGATCTAGCCGACCCGATTCCGAATTCTGAATCCACGGCGTTTATTGGGTCGGGAATTCCTACTCCCGAAAATCAGGAATTAAAACAATCAAGAATTCCTGATTCCCGAAATCGGGAATTTAATTTTTGTCGGCTAGGTCCCTGATACATATTTTAAAAATGTCAAGGGCAAGAAAAATTTTTAGCTGTTTTCTATTTCCATTTTTTTGAACTAATTTTGATTTTTCTCTTTTATTTTTTTAAAATAAGTTTATTATCCCAATAAGACATTCATTCCAAAATTTAATTTTTCTATTTCCCTGAGTTTCTTTGTCCTTTCAAATTAATTCTTTTCAAGTTTTAATCACTTATCGAGAGCCTCCAACAAATGAACAAAATGGGCTGAAAAATTTTATTCCTTCGTTTCTAACTAGAAAAAGTGATTCACAAAAACAAGCAGCGAAAATTGAAGGTTTGGCTGTGTTTTTATACTTTCAAAAGATTATTTTTAAGAAGGAAAATGCCTTCAAGAAACGGACAAAGAAAAAGCCGAAAAATTATTAGCTAAGCGAGAATGGAAAGAGAAAAAACGGCGAGAAAAGGAATTGTTTTCGGTGTTAAAAGAAAGGGCGAATGTTGAGAAATGGTTTAATTTTAATTTTTTAATTTTTTCGAGAGTAACTCTACTCAAAGTAACCCTATCAAAGTCGGCGAGACGCTTGCTTCCCGGGTGTCAACGGTTGCTTGGTTTTACGCAGAGTAGTATGGGCTTATTGTTAGCTTTCGAATTGATGGGGTGTCTAGTAAAATTGACGAATAACTGATTTGAATAATAGGGTGTATCTTGAGAATGAATTGGGTGGTAAAGAAGCGCCAAGATAATTTTTTAAATCTCTTTAAGGCGCAAAAATCTTGTCGATTCAGTTGAACTGTTATTAACACATTACCGTATGATAGTTTCTTTATTTGAACTTCATGGGAATATCACCAAACATGATAGTAATGCTAATATATTCTATACGTTTGTTTCTTAATTTTTCTGTTCAATTTTAATTTTTTTATTCAAGCGTTACATTAGCAATTGATACAGTTTCTTTTGAAATATTCGGTCTTTACATGTAAGTTAAAAATAGACTAAAAGATTGTGTGAAGCTCTAATGCCGCGGTTACATAAAAAGCGTCTTGCGTTTTGCGGCAAAAAATAGCATTGAGAATGAAGAGACACAATTTTGTCTCTCTTTCTTTTGAATGCTATTTTTTGCCGCAAAACGCAAGACGCTTTTTATGTAACCGCGGCATAAGTCGGAGTAAATTTAGTGTCTGGAAGCTCGTACCAAAATTCGTACTCGTACTTTTGTATAAAGTGTGAGTGCTAGAGGTCGATCTGGTTCTGGACCTAGGTCTATGTTTTTCCTGTAAACAGAGTCCAGGCGCGGGAATTTATTGACCTTCCTGGGGTTTTCCTTGACTACAACCCCAGGATCCGGCCCAGATCAATAAATCAAACCCAGGTTCCTGGAACAGGCCCAGGCTTCAAAAATCTCGATTTCTAATGAGTACGTTGCAAAAAAGGTACGAGTACAAGGAAAAATAAGGTCTTATTGCTGACAAAATTTGCGGACTTCTGGACCACAAAATAGAAAAGAACATTCGTTTATATTACTGTTATTTTTAAATTTGATCTCTAGGACTCTTTGATCTCAAAATGTTATATTCTAGAGTGTAGTCTAGTGCGGTAGACCTTATTGAGTTAAAGTCAAGTGGAAGTATGCTGGGTCCATTCTAAACTAAACCTAGGCACATTTAACCATTATATTCCCTAAGGAAAGCTATTAGGTTGGCCAGACCCTACCTAGCTAAGCCTTTACCACTGAGCCACACCGGTGTGCTCTTCCTTCGGGGCACATATTAAAAGACTGTTTAATGCTACGGTTACATAAAAAACGCGCGCGTCTTGCGGCAGAAAAGATAATGGGAAATGAAGAGAGTAAAAGACGCCGGCGTCTTGCCGTTTTTTTTGAGTGGTTACATAAACTGCGTCTTCCGCCGGCGTCAAGACGCCGGCGTCTTGCCGCTTTTTTTGAGTGGTTACATAACCCGCGTCTTCCGCCGGCGTCTTGACGCCGAGCGTCTTGCCGCTTTTTTGAGTGGTTACATAAAATGCGTCTTCCGCCGGCGTCTTGACGCCGGCGTCTCTTTTTTTAATTCAAACATGTTTGAATTTTTTGCGGCAACTTTTAGCGTCTTGATCATTTCTCGGCCAATTCTAATGCGATTTTCAAAATTTAAAAAGATTCTGAAAATTCAATTCATTCTCTATCGATCAATATAAATTTTATATTTTTAAACTGACTTTTTATAGGTTAAAATTAATTTTGAAAAAGGTATACTTTTTGCAAAAAATATTCTTTTTTTTCGATATTTTTGAGATTTTCGAGATAAAAAAGTATTTACAGTCATCGACATAAAGATAGGGGCAAGTGTAAATTAAATGAAAATTAACTATTTTTCGGTCAAAAAATACGTTCTATATAGCAATCGAAAGCTCTATTCGTATCTCAGTTGACATGTTTCTGCATTTTTCATGAAAATGAAAATTGGCCGAGATAATCCGAATCTACCGGATATACCAAATCCTATATCCTCGGAAAAATTTTTCGGGAAAAATTTAACAAACCCATTTGATAAAGAATATTTTTCTGAGTATTTTACAAAAAACCGCTAAGAAATATCTTTTTCCGGACCAGAGATATGATTTTTTGAAAATTGCATTTTTTGCCCATTTTTGCAAAAAATTCAATTTTTAAGGGAAAAATGCAATTTTCAAAAAATCATATCTCTGGACCGGATCTCTTGTCAAAAATTTTTTTTGGGAAAAATTTTCTTCCAAAAAATTTATCAAATTCAAATTATTACCTCGATATCTATGTACGTTGATCCCTTTATATATATCTGTTAATCTTCCAAATACACCCTTAATCACTTCTAATCCTTCTATATCGCTCCATGGAGACTCACCTTGGGGGACACACCAATTAATCAACAATTAAAAATTTTATGGGGGAGGGGGCTTATTTTAGGAGGGGGCTTATTTAAAGGGGGGCTTATTTTTACGATCGACCTCTAGAGGGGGCTTATTTTAGAGGGGGGGGGGCTTATTTTGGAGGGGGGGGGCCTCGATATCCCATTAATTCTCCGATAACCACTTAATCCCTCCAATTTTTATACCTTTAGATAGAGAAGAGTTTATTGGACCAACTTTATACCTCTTTCCAATTTCAACGCCGCAGGCGAAAATTTGAGAATTTTGGAAGACCACTGTGCAAGATTTCTTCCTTTTTTCCTAATTCTAGGATCCTAAAATAGTTCCAATTTTTTGACATTTTTTCTAAAATATATCGAAAAAAAAATATCTTGTGTCTTGTGGCAAAATACGAGATACGAGACCTCTAAAAAACACGAGATTTCACGAGATACGAGAGGAGCACCACCCCTGATCGGTACCATGGCAGAATAAAATGATTTGATTTTATAAATTTTATTTTAGTATGATAAATATTTAAAAAAATTTTTAATCGGATTTAGTGGTTACATAAAATCGCGCGCGTCTTGCGGAAGACGCTCGGCGTCAAGACGCCGGCGGAAGACGCTGTTTTGTGGTTACATAAAATCATCGTTTTGACGCTTTGCGTCTTCTCGCTTAGCGGAAGACGCCGATTTTATGTAACCACGAAACAGCGTCTTCCGCCGGCGTCTTGACGCCGAGCGTCTTCCGCCGGCGTCTTGCGTTTTTTATGTAACCGTAGCATAACTGGGAACTGATTTATCGGTGAAGCAATAAACAATATATAAACATAAGCATGTGAATGGGAGGTGACACAGTAAATAGCGATAAATAATAAATATAATGTAATGGTTGGGAAAATCCATTAATGCATAATGCTCGCCCAAAAGATCACCTTTGCTTAGGCAATCAACGGATATACCTTACAGTAACATATTTTATTCAAAAATGTTTATCAATTAAATCAAATTTATTTAAAAAAGATATTATCAACACATACGACTTTGTTGTCGTCTTGGTTGTTGCTATTTTACCTTGTGGAGTTATTTTCTTGGAATTATTGGGAGTTATTTTATGTTTTATCCAATGCTTTTTCTTCAATATGACCTGGTAGATGAGACTTTGTGTCATTTTAAAGAAGGGAAATCTTTAAATAATTTTTTTGATTTTCTTAATAAAACAAATCCTTTTTTAATTAATTCTGATTAATTAATACTGATTTTTTAAATTATTTCTGATTTTATTTAATCATTTCAACAATGTTTTAAATCAGGGCTGCCATCTGGAAAATGTTAAGTGAAGGTACAAAAAGTTCAATTTGGAAGTACTTAGGGGAATAAATTTTCAAAATATAAGTACGCTCCAAAAATACAATCTAAAAAATTTATTTTAACTTAAATATTTGATATTCTTATCCAAATGAGTTTTATAAGCGTCGCAGGCGAAAATTTTGAGAATTTTGGAGGTCTTTAGGCAGATTTCTTCCATTTTTTGCGCCGCAGGCGAAAGTTTTGGAAATTTTAAGGTTAAATTTAATATTTTAACCAAAAAGTCTATTTGTAGGTACGTACTTACAAATAAATCCGTGTTTAATTTTGGAAGTACAAGGGTCGATTTGTAAGTACTGTACTTCCAAAATAAGTACATCTGGCAACCCTGTTTAAATTAATACTTGTTGTTAGTTGAATAAATGGATAATTAATTGCCCTAAATTATAAACCTGAATACCTTATTCCATACTATAATACGGGAAAATACCGATAACGATAAATACTGATCAGGGATATTCATCGATGCGAGCGAACCTCCAAATCAATTTGATTTGGAGACATTGTTTTTTTTGAGACAAATCCAAATCAATTTGAAAAATGTAGATGGTTTGATGAGATTTTTTTTAGATGTCAAGTTCTTTTTTAAAAATTTATTTTTAATGGTGTTTCCAACAACAGTTTAATTTTGAGTAAGATAACCCCCATTTTTTACTCTGTTGGACATTTTGAGTCGGGACGAGTTGGGGGTTTTGTTAAGTGGGATGAGTGGAGGTTTGAGTTCATTGGGACGAATTTAGAGGGGACGAATCGAAAGCAGCCCATATAATCGCTTAAAAAGAAATGAAAGAAAAGATAATGAAAGAAAAAAAAGACTTCTACTCCATTAGATTTTCAATCATTTGCCAATGGACACCTTGTTAACCTTGTTTTGGTATCCATTCTTTATCCCGACTGCTTTTTAATTAAAAAAAATTTTTTCTTCATTTTCTAATTTTTCTCTATCATTCCCCCTCTAATTTTAAAGCATGTTAATCTAAAATTCACTACATTAATTTGCCTTCATGGGCTGGTTTAGCTTCAAATTTTGGTTTTGTTTTCGTCTTATACTTGCATCTATTGCTCATTTTAACTGGTTTCTTAAAAAAATTTTTTTTCTTGAATTTTTAAAATTTCCCCGAAGGTTAACAGCAATTTATGTCAATTGTATTTTCTTTACTTTATGGAAATCCTATGATATTTTTTGGTTTTGGTTCCATTTATTTTTGTGTATTTGCTTCCCAGCTTTGAGGCCTGAAAATTATTTAATTGTATTTATTCGCTTAATTCGGGCAAAATATGGAGAATATTCCGACAAATCTTTTAAAGAAATTTATGAACAATTTTATAAATATGAAGGGAAGACCAAGGCTGAAGTTGAATTGAAACGAGTTGAGACTTTAAGAAGGGAAAAAAGAGAAAGCAGAAGAGCTGGAAATAAAAAGGTTTTTACCACCTTAAAAATTTTTTTGCGGATTTAAAAATTGTTGCGGACAATATTTACGGAGTAATTTATAAAAATCTAATTTTTTATTTGCTTCATATTTTTTATTACATTTAGAGAAAAATATGAAAAATACAATGAATTTAATAAGACTAACTTAGAATAATTTATTTGTAACAAGTCTCGACAATGTATATCCCTGTGGATCTAACTTTAGAATAGCTAGCAAAATTTACCTGTGTCAAATAGGAACAGAGGCTAATTGTAAGATTTTAAGATGACAAGAGTCTGAGCGAGGATTTCAAAAAAACCAGAGCCAGAGTTAAGACTTGAAAAAAAAACCCAGAGCCGGGCCACAAAAAGTCAAAGACAGATATTCCTCGAATTTTATTAAAGGTGGGATATCCGCAATAGGTTCTATGGGATGGACTATGAAATTATTTTCTAAAAAATTCCTGATAAAAATTTTCTAGGCGGACGATTCTTCCTCTAGTGAAGAAGAAGGAAATATTGAAACTGGAAGACCTACATTATACCCTAAATTGCTTGAAAATGAAGAACAGGCTATGCCAAATATTCGCTTAGATCGTCAAAAAGCAGGAAAGAGTAAACAAGACCAATTAGAAGGTTGATAATTTTTAAAAATTTCAAAAAATTATTTTTCTGGGCTAAAATATAGTGAATCTTTTTTAAAATTTTAATACTATTTTATTTTTTTTGAGAAATTTTTGATTTTCGAAAATAAGTTTTTTAGTTGTTTAACTCCCAAAATTATTTTTTCAAGTTTTGATCACTCATCGAGAGCCTCCAACAGCTGAACGAACTGGACTGAAAAAATTAATCCCTTCATTTTTAACCAAAAAAAGTGATTCACAAAAGCGGACAGAGAAAATTGAAGGTTTTTTCTAGTCAAAAAAATTTTTAGAAAGATTTTATAGAAGCAAAACGTCTTCAAGAACGGGACAAAGAAAAGTCTGAAAAATTGTTAGCCAAGCAAGAACGAAAAGAGAAAAAACGAGCAGAGTTGGCATTGCTAAGAGAAAGGGCAAAAATTGAGAGAAGGTTTTAAATTAAAATTCTTCAAAAAAAATTTTTTGGAGAAATGACTTTTAAGCCTTTTTTGGGATATTTTTGGAGCTCAAAAATTAAAATTCTATTTTGATTTTTGTTAGGTTTTCTTTTAAAATTTCTTCAAAAATTCACAAGAATCGACACCTTTATATGACAAAAAATATATCTTAAAAACAAAAAAATAGGGCACCTGCTGATTTAAAAAAAATTATGTCTGAAATTGCCGTCCGCAATTGTCCTACCACTAAGAAAAATTTTGAAAAAAAATTAAATTTTTTTTGAGATTTTTGTAATTTTTTAGGAATATTTAAAAAAATTTTTTATAATTTAAAAATAAAAAATTTTTTTAAATTTTTTTAGACGCAAAAATTTTGCGGATTCAGTCGATTTATTACTAACCTATTGCCGTCTAACAACTTCTTTTGCTGTAATGGTAGGGAATGTTCACAAAATGTTTTTGCCTAGATATTTAGCTCCTCCAAGAGATTCTGTTTACGACAGTCCAGATATTTTAATGGTTTTTGGTTTTACTTTGTTAATTGATGTTGGGTTCTTTTGGTTATTAACTATTTTGAGGTAGAAAAATGTTTTTTTTTAATTAAAAACATTTTATAAGGGTTTAATAATGTTTAAATTAAATTCTGATTTTATTAAAAATTATTTTTAAAAAATTCTGATTTTAACTTATTTTTAGAGACCGGATTTTTATGCATTAAAAAATGCATAATATGCACTATAATATGCATAAAAAATTGCCAAAATATGACAAAAATATGCAAGTAAACCAAAATATGCACACATATATGCATGAAAAATAAAATTTATACCTAAAAATTTTATATATTTTTAGTCAAAATGACGTAAACACTCATTTTCTATTAAGATTTCTCCAATTTTAAACATATAGTTCGAAAAATTGAGCATTTTTAAGCTGTTGTGCATTTTAAGATGAGACATTTTGGTGGTGGGACATTTTGGGGTGCGACGTTTTGGGTCTGAGACATTATGGGGGTGGGCCATTTTCTGGCGAAGCCAATAAACACAAAAAATTTTTTACAAAATTTGTAATTTTTACAAATTTTTTCCTAAATTTTTACTGAATTTTCACTTTTTGGCAGGATTTTGTGCAATTTTCGCAATATTTTCCCCAAAAAAACTCAAAATATGCAGTAAAATATGCATTATGCAGCAAAGTCCGGAATATGCAAAAATATGCATTATATGCAAATAGAAACCCCCTCTAAAGTTGTCAAAACATGCGGAAACAGTGTTTTTTGTGCATTACACATCATGAAAAGTTTGCAAAAAAAAATGCATTTGCATAAAAATCCGGTCTCTACTTATTTTTAGTTCATGTTTCAAATAAATTCTGGTTTTATTAGGAATGTTTTAAGGAAATTCTGATTTAATTAAAAAATGTTTTAAAATAATTCTGGTTTTTATTGATATTGTTCGTAAACAATTCTGTTTTTAACTAACAATAAGATAATGTTTCACATTCATTCTGATTTTCGTTTTAAATGTTTCAATGAAATTCTGATTTTTATTTTATAATGTTTTGAACTAATTCTGGTTTTTATTTAAAAATTGTTTTAATCTAAAACATTTTTAAAATCAGAATTTTATTAAAACATGTCTATAAAAATCAGAATTTCTTTAAAACATTATTAAAATTAAAACCAGAATTAGTTTAAAACATTTGAAAATTATGATTTTTATGTAGTTTAATGTTTTAATTTAATTCTGATTTCTATTTAGTCATATTTTAAGTAAATTCTTTAAACATTTAAGTATAAGTAATGTTTTAAAATTATTCTGATTTTTTAAATTTATTTTCTAATTAAATTTATTTATTTAAAAAAGTTTTTGTCAACAAATTGGCCTTTGTTGTCGTCTAGGTTGTTGCCGTTTTATTTTTTGGTGTTTTGGTCTTTTATTTTTTGGAGGTTTTTGTATGTTATATCCAATGCATTATATTCAAGAACAAATGGATGAGACTTGGTGTCAATTTGAAGAGGGGGAATATTTAAGTAATTATTTTGATGGAAAATAGAAGACGATTAATTATATATATTAATAAAAATTATTCCATTTGGGTTGAGGTTGCGTTGGCGCGAGACTTACAATTTGCTTCAGCCTAAGCCTAAAATCGCGAAAATTTTCTCAATTTTCTTTAACATCCTTGACTACCTTATCCAAAAATTTCAGAATTTTCGATCAAATATTTATGATGTTATAGTCAATAAACCTCCAAAAATCAGGCATTTTTTGCTCAAGAATGCTGAAATTTTTGGAAAACTTAGTTAAAAAAATACAATAGTTACTATTGCAAAATTTTAACTTGATAAGCAATTCACTATTTTATAAGCTCCTTCCAAGACGACCTTAGTTTACTTTTAAAAGGAAAAAAATGAGAGAAAAAAATCAGAATTAAGAAAAATATTAAAATAAATGTTTTAATTTAATTCTGATTAGAAAAGCAATTTTAAATAAAAACCAGAACTATTAATAATGTTGTAAAATAATTCTGATTTTTATAAAAATTTGTTTGAAATTAGTTCTGATTAAAAAATGTTTAATAAAAATCAGAATTATTTTAAAACATTAATAATTCTGGTTTTTTATTTAATCATTCCAACAATGTTTTAAATTAATTCTGATTTTATTTATTCGATTTAAGTGAACAAATGGAATAATTTTAAACGCCTTAACTTTAATTACCTATATTTAATAAGTTTAATTCTTAGCCATGTATTTACCGATTCGCTTATATTTTTCTTTTATACCCACGTTTCAACTTTTTCATTTCCCGGTTACCTACCAACGATAGTCATAAAGTTTATATAAAAATTTTAAATAAAAATGAGAGCTATGCTAAATTTTAGTTTTTTTGTGTAATTAATTCAACCACAAGGGCTATTTATAGAGGGGAAACAGGGACAAATGTAAGAGAAAAAGGACACATTGACGAGGTACCTAGCTATTTTCAATTAAAAAATATAATTTACTGCCCAAATTACCTACTGCCCATATCACTCATTGCCCAAATAACTTACTGCCCAATTCACCACTGCCATTTTCACCTGACACGTAAAAGAACACCGGAAATAGGGGAGGACAAGCAAGCACTAAAAAATAACAACTGCAAATGGGTGTAAGATGGTTGACGGAGAAATTGGGGCTGGTCCAAAAGGGCGTGTTTAAAAATATAAAATATGATCATAACATATTTATTCATAATCAACTACAATACATAAATCATTGTGGATGTATTCTTAAACGATTAAAAACAGCTTCTTTGTACGGCTTATTAGTTAGTATACAAACAATTGGGTTAAAAACAGGTGTAAAATGAGTGAAAATTGCAAGAAATATATAAATCGGATTTATATCATTATCTTTGGATGAATCATTTTTTTTATTTAGTGTAATCAACACAGATAATATACTTAATAATTGATTAATAAATGGAATAATTACCTGAAATTTAAAATTAATTAAATAAAATGTACCAGTGTAGTTTACACCCCATAAGCCACGCCCATTTTTCTTCTCTCTCCAGTTTGTAAAAAGTGACCGTTGGGCCGATATTTTCATTTTATTTCAGAAAATAAGTCTTAAAACAATGAAAGAGAGAAGAGGCGGAGCTTATGGGGCGTAAACTACACAAATACCCAATAAATTTTATATACCAGAATTATCAGTGTTATTGTCAATTGTTTAAGCAATCTCTTCATATTCTGACTAAATCCACTATGTAAATTAACATAATGAACCATTTTATAGCCACAAATGAAAATTATAATAAACGGAAGTATTGTAATAACAGTTACAATTAATGGTGGAAAATCCTTTCATTTAAAAATAAATTACATTGGAAGTAGGGTGGTAAACGGTTAACTAAACAGGACCCGATAACCCAGAGTTTTTGGAGAATTAACAGAAAATGTGAAAATCGGGGACCGAAAACCAGCAATAAAATAATTCTGTACCTTTACTTTAATAGAACCAAAAGGCAAAGTTTTGTTCAATTCGTCAAATTGTTTAATCCCTCCATCATATATAGCGGTGATAAAAATCAGATTATAAAGCAAAACTACAGGTGTCATAATTGAAAACATATATAAATAGCGTTTAAAGCTTGTCTTCATGTTTCTATAAATTTATTTGGTATATTTCCGTTATGCCACCTCCTCCTAAATTAATGCTAAGAACGTCATATATACGGTAATAAAAGGTGCTGAATCGAACGGCACCACTTTCCCGGAAATGCTGGTGGACTGAGATATAAGGCTCGAAATGGTCTAAAACCATAGGTGGAGTCTCAGTTCAGGCATCTCTGAACAAGAGCGTTACCGTTAGATTAATCACCTTTTATTACCCTATATATGACATTTTTAGTATTAATTTAGATGAAGGTGGTATAACGGAACAGTACCATATATTTCTTGTTTCTAATACTGATTTTGATTTTAATTAATTCTGATCTTTTAAAATTAATTCCTATTAAAATTACCGCAAATTAGCTAGTTTAGTCACCCCCTCCAGCGAGAGGTTGAAACTATAAAGTGTAAAAGGTTATTCAGTGGTTGGGAGCAAACTAGCATCTTCCATAAACCGGACTAATGTGTTATCCATTACACTACGCCGCTTATTGCGCAGCCTTAGGAATTAAATAGCTATTTGCTTTACAATAATTAACCAGGATAATTAAGAGCTTTTACTGCATTTGTTCTTTACCTGTTCAAAACTAAATATCTATAAACAAATTGAACACACAATCCATACAAATTTACAATATAGAAAGTCTGTACGATAAATAAATAACTTTGGTAAATAATTTTGTTAAAATTATTTTTCATAGATTCAAAGAAAATCCCATTAGTAAAAATAAAAATTGAATTCCCATTGCTGTCATTTAGAAAAATCTTAAAGTGTAAATTTAATTCTGATTTTTCTGATTTTTTAAAAATTTTACCATTTGCAAAAACATTTGAGATGTCAATACAAAAATATCCAAAACACAATTTTGTATCAGAATTCTGCTGTGTGTCTCCATTTCTTTTGGTGTTTTAAAAATAATTAAAATAATCACAATAATGTTTAGAGGATAACCAAGTAATAAACTTCCCCAAAAATCAAATTTAAATAAAATATCAGTTAAATTTGACATTTTTTATTTATTTTAATTTTTAACAATATTATAGTGAAATAAAACAAATGTAAGATAATTTTTAAAATAAAATGTCGTAAACAACTTTTAAAAATACAAAAAATATTTTTGAGAAAATTTCTTTATTTTAATTAAAACTGTGAGATATTTAACGCCTACTTGGTGTACTTTAAAAAAATATTTTTCAATAACCAAGTAAAATTTTAAAGCCAAATTATATTATAAACAATAAAAAGGGGAAATAAAATAATTACGAAAAAATGTTTACGAAAAATACCGTAAATCCTTTAAACTAGCCCCCCCCCCTCTAAAATAAGCCCCCTCTAGAGGTCGATCGAAAAAAATAAGCCCCGGGCTTATTTTAGAGGATTTACGAAAAATATACGCACTATTTTTATTTAAATTTCATCTCCCATTGTAAATTGGTTCTAGAAGTTCGCCTGAAGTTCCGGTCCGGTAGGCTGTAAGTCATCATAAAGGAGTGAGCGGTGAATATTGTCCGACCGGATTAACATAAATATGGAAATAAACAGGGCGGATAGTGTGTTTTTCGACATTTCAGACCCTAAGCAATTCAGGAAAAAACATGGATTTTCATATAATTGCCAGCTCCATTTATAACATTTTTTAAAACAAATACAAATCAGAATTAATTTAAAACGAATTTTGAAAACAATAAAATGTGAAAAGCATTCGTAAACATATAAAAAACATCAATTATTGTGGATGTATTTTTAAACGATTAAAAACAGCTTCTTTGTACGGCTTATTAGTTAATATACAAACAATTGGGTTAAAAACAGGTGTAAAATGAGTGAATATTACAAGAATTATATAAATTACACTGTTATTTTCTTCATGAGAATTGTTTGTTTTGACATAAATTATACCATGTACAAAAACTATAATTTGATTCATAAATGGAATAATTGCCTGAAATTTAAAATTAAACATAGTCTTCTGGCAGTTAGTGCTAGGCGCTTACGCTCACCACGTACAGGTGCTTTACCTACTAAGCTACTGGGACGCTGCTTTCACCTTCTCTTTTAATAGATCTTAAACCCCCGCCTAGTGAGCGTTTTAAATGCTAGCCAGCTGGATCTTTCTTTTCCTTAATGTAGTTTTTAGAACAAAAATACATTTTTTCTGGTACTATGCGTTTATATCCCCCCAAGTCCGCAAAAGTTGTCCGCACTTTTTTCCATTCCTTTCTCCTATCGAAGATTAGATCAAGCGTTAATAAACCCACATTCTCTTTTTCTTCTCCTTTCTTCTTCTTTTCTCATAAATAGGGTTGTTATTTTCGAGTCGGACCGCCGGTCGAGTCATTTTTTTCGGGCCTCATTGTTATCGGTTCGGCTCTTCTATTTTTACTTGACCATTTTTAATATTTACGAGAGGGTTGCTAAAACAGACTGACTCGGACCGAAGGATCGAACTTAAAGCGTTAATGAACCCACATTCTCTGTTTCTTCTCCGGAAAAAGAAACGTACAGCCCAAACCGATGACAATGAGGCCCGAAAAAAATGACTCGACCGGCGGTCCGACTCGAAAATAACAACCCTATTTATGAGAAAAGAAGAAGAAAGGAGAAGAAAAAGAGAATGTGGGTTCATTAACGCCTGACCATTTCTAATCCTTATGATAGGAGAAAGGAATGGAAAAAAGTGCGGACAACTTTTGCGGACTTGGGGGGATATAAACGCATAGTACCTTTTTTCTCTTCTAAATTTCCAAAATCCTCAAATTTTTCGCCTTCGGAAAGAAAAAGAAATAAAAATCTGAAGTTCATTTATTATGCAATTCTTCGGATTTACTTAAGATGATCAATAGTAATAAAATTTTCTTCAATTCAAATGAGTAAAGCAGCTGGGCTATACAGTGCTGGTCAAAAGTATAGCCGCACCTGAAAAAACGGTGTAACTCCGGACTGAGTTCGCCAATTGTTATCAAATTTCGCAAAAATATTTTAGATTAAATGAGAAACATGATAACATTCAAACTTTTTGAAATTATTATAAGGAATTCAAAAAAAATCAAAATTTTCAAAAAATGCCATAATTTTTACTGGTCAAAAGTATAGCCGCACTTTGGATTTTCATGTTTCTAATTTTAGGAAAAATCTACAAAAATTTCACATAACATATTTATCAATACTAAGAAAAAATAAAAAAGAACTAGGCCGATATCTCATTTCAATGTCGAGATCTCGATACCCTGAAAATAGGGGTAAAATAGGGGTAAGACTCTTTAAAAAATATTTTCGACCCCATATGGATTATTTTTAAATTTCTATTTAGGCTTATTTGATAGCCCTTGAAATTTGCTATAAGATAGCCTTAATCTTATTTTCCAGAAAAAATAATTCGATTGGTTATTAAGAGTTAAATTTTCGTGTCTCCAAAAAACACCTAAATGCCCCATAAAATGCCCTTACGGTCGCTTCGGAAGATTAATGTAATATATCTCTCAAATGAATTTTTTCTGGAAAATAAGATTAAGGCTATCTTATAGCAAATTTCAAGGGCTATCAAATAAGCCTAAATAGAAATTTAAAAATAATCCATATGGGGTCGAGAATATTTTTTAAAGAGTTTTACCCCTATTTTACCCCTATTTTCAGGGTATCGAGATCTCGACATTGAAATGAGATATCGGCCTAGTTCTTTTTTATTTTTTCTTAGTATTGATAAATATGTTATGTGAAATTTTTGTAGATTTTTCCTAAAATTAGAAACATGAAAATCCAAAGTGCGGCTATACTTTTGACCAGTAAAAAATTTACTAATTTTTGATATTTTAAATTTTGGCTCTATGTTTTAAAAAATTTTTTACATACTATTTATCCTAATCAATTTCCATTGACTTCAGAAATATTTTCACAAGGTTTTAAAATTTTGGAACAATTTAATCAAAAGTTATACAGTTTTATCAAGTGCGGCTATACTTTTGACCAGCACTGTAGCTATTTATCTCCTTCAGCTAGTGCAAGGGGTTATTCGGCGGCTGGGAGCGAACCAGCACCTTCAGTAGACCGGACTGGTGTGTTAGCCATTACACCACGCCGCCTACTGCACAGCATTAGGAAATTAATAGCTATATGCTTTACAATTGTTGGAGTCAAAAAATATAACCCATAAAATGATTTTAATTTAATTTTTGTTTTTGATGATTGCCTGCGTTGCAAAAATGGTTTTTGCGGATTTGTGATTTTTAGCTCAGAAATGCTTTAAAATTTTTAAAAATTTGAGATCGAAGCCATAACTATAACAAGACTCAGATTTATAAAATAAATTTTATTACCAAAATAATCAAAGTTTTTGTCAATTGTTTAAGCAATCTCTTCATATTTTGACTAAGTCCAGTATGTAAATGAACATAATAAACCATTTTAAATCCACAAACAAAAATTATAAAAAATGCAAGTAGTATTGCAAAAAGGTTTAAGAGTAGCGAATACTTCTGAAAAAATAAGGTAATAAAAAGGGGCGGGAGGGGAGGGCGGACGTGAGCGGAGCATATTCAAAAAAATCTCGAAATTTCGTGCCGTGCCATAATACCAAAAAGTACCGAAAACTCAAAGGAACTTCAAAATTGTACCATACCGTATTACGGGCCACAACGGAGAACTTTCACGCAAGGTTGGCGGTTCCGGGTATCCGGAACCGAAAAAACCTCGGATATCCGGAATTTTTCGGTTCGGATATCGGTTCCGTTTTATGATATCCGAAAATTTTCGGTTCGGAAAAATGGAAGTAGTATAAAAAATGAAAGTAGTACTGCAAAAAGGTTTAAGGGTAGCGAATACAGCTGAAAAAATAAGGTGATAAAAAGGGACGGGAGGGGGAGGGAGGGAGGTAGTGCGAGGTAAAACTATAAATTTTGGTACAGGCATTCACGCTCTGTCTTAAATTATCCATTATATATGTAAATTAATTTTGTTACCTCGAATTTTGCTGTAACAAACGGCATTGTTTCATTTAAATATTCTTCTTCAAACAGCTTAACACCCCCATCAATAAAGTACATAGCATAGTTAAACCAAATCAGATTATAAACCAAACCAATAATTAGAACAGTCGAGAACATATACAATAAATAGGTTTTAAAGTCAATTTTCATGTTCCTGTTAATTTATGTTTATAATTATACATAACAGGGGTGCAGCTCGTCTCGTATCTCTTCTTTTGCCTCGAGACACGAGATATTTTCAATCTATTTCAGACAAAATGTCAAAAATTTGGGAATATTTTAAGATCCTAGAATTAGGAAAAAAGGAAGGAATCTTGCCCAATGGTCTTTCAAAATTCTCAAATTTTCGCCTGCGACGCTGAAATAGTGATCTCAATAAATCCCCTAGTCCTCTGAATCCCCAATATCCTTCATAATCCAGCTGTAATCATTATCCATTCAAACCATTAAATTTTCGGCTTTACAATTTATGATTGAATAATTTTGAAAAACAATAATATTTAAAATCTCATGCCTCGTATCTCGTGAAATCTCGTGTTTTTTGAAAGATCCCGTGTCTCGTTTTATCTTGTTCTCGTATTATTAGGAGAATCTTGTATCTCGTGAATTGTTCTCGTATTTTGTGGCACGAGTTGCACCTTTGATATTTAATATCCTAATCTTTTTATCATGGAATAGTCAGCCAAAGTGGCTTGGGGCCACAATAAATACATATACACCAGAGGTGTGCCAGTTTCGCGTTTCGCATTTTAAAATCCGTTTCGGCACACCTCTGATACACACTTATGGGGCGCGCGAATCCGCTATTTAGGAATTAATACGAGGGAGAGAGAGAAACAGGCCAACAAATGTACGAAATCATAGCTGAACGAATAATTTGGCCGGTTCTCTCTCGCATTTATGGGGCGTTCAATCATTATTTATTTATTATAATTCAGAACTTGAGTGTTTTACCTGTTCAGAACTAGATATCTAAACACAAATTGGGCACACAATCCAAACAAATTTATAGTATAAAAAAAGTATCCAATAATTATAAAAATATGAAAAATAATTTTGTTAAAATTATTCTTCATAAATTCAAAGAAAATGCCGTTAGTAAAAATAAAAATTGAATTTCCATTGCTGTTGTTTATATAAAACTTAATATTTAGATTTAATTCTGGTTTTAATTATTAGGTTCATTTTTTTATTTCTGATTCAATTTTAAATTTCATTTTCTGAGAGTATTTCCGGAAAGTATTACATTCTCTTTTTCCACCCGAAAATTATAATTCTGATTTTAATTTTAATTTTGTGTTTGTTTTACATATTGTGCAAGCATTTGACAAGTCAACATAAAAATATCCAAAACACAATTTTGTATCAGAATTCTGCTGTGTGTTTCCATTTCTTTTGGTGTTTTAAAAATAATTAAAATAATCAGAATAATGTTTAGAGGATAACCAAGTAATAAACTCCCCCAGAAATCAACATTAAAGAAAATATCAGTTAAAGCTGTCATTTTTTTTAAATTTTTTAAAATTGTTTCATTTGAAATTTTTTAATATTTAAATGAAAAATGCCGTCTAATTAATTTTAAAATTTTCACCTGCCATTTATCTAATGCCCTTTAAACGACAAACAAAAAAAAATTTTTTTCTATATAATTATCAAAAGCAGATTGTTTAAATTTTAAATGCCAACTTTAAAAAAAATTTTTTTTTTGAATTTTTAATTTAAATATACCACTTATAATAAATAATATTTACATTTTACTTTTAAATTTGCAGGTGAAATTAAATTATTTGAAATAAAAATTTTTTAAAATAATAAAATCAGAATTAATATTAGAAGAAATACGGTATAATAGTTTTGAGTTTCGTGCGAAAACAAACAAAAAATGTCGTCTAATTAATTTTAAAATAAAATTATTGATATATGTATTGTTGGATAATTGTTGGATAAATTGTTGGATAATTGTTGGATAAATTGTTGGATATATATCCTCAAGACTTGATCTGATCATTCTGAAACTTCCACATTGTTCACGGTTGTTGACGAGGCGCATCTGGGAAAATTGTTGGATATATAAAAATATTTAGTTACCGTATTTTCTCTAAAATAGCCCCCGGGGGCTATTTTAGATCGTCCGCCGACACCCCGACCCGAACCCCGAAGGCTCTACTCCGACAAACTACAATCCCCGACACACCCGACCCCGAAGGCTCGGGGTGCTACCCTACTGTAAAATTCTAAGCAGAATTTTATTAAAGGGAGAGGAAAAGCCTAAGTAAAACATTTAAATAAAATTTCTAATTCTCAATATATCAAACAAACAGCTTTAATCGGTTTAATTCCTCACAAATAATCAGAATTAACAAAATATTGTATAAATCAAAATACTATCAATTATCTTTATAAAACGGGTAGAAGGAGAAACAAAACAGAAAAAATCTCTTTTAACGGGGAGAAGGAATTTCAAATTTCATAAAACAGTTCAAAAACTTTTAATTAAATCGGGGGAAGGAGTAGTTCATAAACTTTAGTTCAAAAAACTCTTAACTTCAAACGGGGAGAGGAATATCTGACTGGAAGGAAAGGGTACAAGTTCAAAAACTGAGCCAAAACTGCTCAAATTTCCATTTATATATTCGGGTTGGGAGGTGCAAAAATAAGGAGGCGTTTGCACATTATAATCCAGAATTAGTTGGCCAAAATAACCCGTGCAAAGGGTTGCAAAGATAGAACGAAAGAGAAGAGAAAGGACATTTTTCAGACAGGATCAAAATACACAAAAAATACAAAGGAGCTTTTCCTAGTTAAATTGAGCGGGACAGAGATTTAAAAGAATGGGGAGAAAAAAGAGCAGGGACCAAACGGTTAATGTGCAAGGATCAAAAAAGGCCTTTTGGCCCGCCATAATTAACATTTTTTGAGCGGGCTTAAAAATATAGACAAAAATATATGGACAAAATTTCGGTCAAAGGTTAATAAATAAAAATATATTCAAATCTAAAAGATTTGACATTCGGGAGAAACCCAAAAAAAGTTTAGATGAAGGCATAGGGCAGATTGAGGAATATGGGTTTATGTGAGTTGCAAGGAAGGGTGGGGGAGGTACGTTTTAAATTTAATAAATTTACGACATTGATCCATCTATCTTTTTTCTTTATCTTCCTTCTCTCAAAACATTCAGCTTCTTGGTTGAGGGCTATCAACATATTCTCCAATTGATTATTATTTCCCTTTAAATTCATTCCATAGTCCATGCCATACATATTGTCGGGATAAGAATCGTTGAGAAAGGAGAGTAAATTTTTGGAATTAGTTTTTACATTTAAATCTATTATTACCGTTTTGGATGCCACTTGTAGTTAGATGAGGAGGAACGGAAGTTTCAGTAAAATCCATAGCATATTGTGTATTAGTCCATTTAGTCCAAAGCATATTGAGCCAGAGCAACAATTAATGGGATTTTTCAACAGAAGGAATATAAATGATTTAAAAAGATGGTATCGGTGGGAATTGGGCTTATAGTTTATATTCATAAATTCAATCTCGATACTGGGGGAGAATTCAGGAGTAAAGGTATTTGTCGAGGGGGGACTCTTCAATATTCTAGGGATAGAGCCATTGTAGTCTTTAGAAAAATCATTTTCATTTAATACAAAAGAAAAGGTACAGGGAAGTATTGAATTCTTATCTGAGTCATTCTCGTTTTTGTATTTCGGTTCGATAAGAGGATACTTGATTTTATCTAATGGGGGATTTCCAAAATCTATAATATATATCAGAGGAATATTGGCAAGGGGTGGCGATTTAATTTCATAAATACTTGGTGGCTTTCGGGCTTTTAATTTTAACAATTTACTTTTAAAATTTCGGGAAAAAAAGGGATTATCTTTAACAAAATCTTCAGACAATGATGTCATACTTTTAAAGTCGGAATTTCGCAAATTTACAATTTTCTTTGCTGTTACTTCTTTGTAGGAAGGGTTATTATCTCTCGTAAAGGTTTCAATGGGTAATGTCACATTATTACAGTAATTATGAGTACTAATCAAGTCAGGACTTTTGGTTGGGGCTCTGGTGTCGTTGATTGTATTAAAAAGTTGTTTGTTTAATCCAACAGATTTTTCTTCTTCAAAACTCACATTTATAAGTTGGGTAGTTAATACAATTTCTTCACAATTAATAATGTTGTCTATTACTTCCTTTCTTTCAAATATATCTTCTGATGTAGAAGACGAATGTTGTATATTATTGGAGCAGATAATGGGGGGAGATAATGGGGGAATATCTGTAGGGGAGGTACTGATCAGAAAAGGGGTTGATTCTTCCGAATTAATGTGTATTTCTTCATATTTTTCATTTATAAGTTTTGGTAATTGGATTATTTCTTCTCTCATCTGATTGTTTAAATCGTTAGGATTCTTTTCAACATTTATTTCTTCTAGAGGGGAAAAACCAGGAGGGATAGCAAGTGGGTTAAATTTATTCATTTTATTACTATTTGAACAATTGGTTTCATTAAAATAGCTCTCAGGGACTATTGGGTGTTGAGGTGAATAAAATGTGTTTGGCTTGGATTTAGTCGGATATGCCAGAGTTGGCGCCTCTTCTTGCGTAACGGGTGAAAGAGAAAATTGTCCCTTAGCTGGGGGATTTAAAAACAAATTAGATTGTATAGGTGGCCGGTTTCGATAAGAATTATCCATAGTATTTGCATAAACTGATTTTAATGAGGTTTGAGTATTTTCATTGAATTGCCTATTCTGGGAAGGGTCTAAAGGAGGAAGTTCAGGAAGGAGATGGGAATGGTCGAATTGGGGTTTAATTTTGGGTAGGTTACTTTCTAATTCATGTCGGGAATTTCGAAGCTTTCGTAGATACCGTTTAAGGTCGTACATAATTTTTATATAATTTATTTCCTGGAGGAATTTCTCTAAATTTTGGCTATCATTTGCCCTTTCATTTTCTGACATGGAAATTCTTAATTTTTGCCATGAATCGTGGGCCATTTTAAAATCATTTAGGATTTTGGTGATCTCTTGGGAGGTAAGGTCTATTTCATTAATTAATGTCTGGGTAGATTCGGGAGATTGGGTTTTAAAATTATCATAATCTTCTATTAGAGCAGAGAAAGGGCTAGGGAGAAGTATTTCTTT